GACATAAAAATTTACAAACTGTTTAATCTTTTTTGCTGTGTTCCAGAATTCAACAGTAAATACAGAAATCACGAGAGAGTTACTGGTGAGTGGCTGTGAAAGCTGCCTTCTTGCCCATCGTGATTTTGGACCTTTCGTTTTTCGATTAATTCTGGAAAAAATTGTAGATGAGGAATATTCAATCGATACGAAACTGGAAGTCTGTACCTTCTTGGTATGCTTTCTGCTTAATTTCAATTTTTTTTTTTTTAAAGGATCATTGCCCTTTCTACTGTTGAAGGGTGAATGTCATTTATCAGTGTGAGGTGCCTGTGAAATAGAAAATGGTTATTTGTGGGGTATTTGCAGGGGTGGTTTGGTATGTGTACTAGACAAACTGTAAGGACGCCGCATGCAATAATTCCCTGGGGATAGGGTGTTAGTTGTTTCTAACTACACCGAGGACTTACATCGATAGCCCGTGCAGATTTGAGGGGCTAATGGCATTAAGATGCATTATTAACATCGAAGGCTGTGTCGTAGTGTTGGAGTGGTATAACAAGCTAGGCGTTACCAAGCATCGGTGCTGCTTTTAGTGCTTGTCGCTTTTTCTGTAGCCGACTTTGGGCAAGTTTTCACTGGCCGAGCTACATGCTGTATTCAGTCGGGGGTGGTTTGTGTTCGTTATATACGTGTTCAAAGTTTATTTTGCTCCCGAAATTTACGTTGTTTTTTGTGAAAGGAATTTTGCATGGGATTTTAAATAATTTTGCGTTGAATGGATATTGAAGGCTAAGGCATGCAGTATCTTCCCGACCGAACACTTAACCGATGCAACTGTTGATTTATGTGCTGGAATCAGATCAGTATTATTTAATTTGCCGCGAAGCGAAAGTGGAGATTGCATCCCGAAGTCAATTGAAATTTCTGTTGTTTCAATGTTGGAAGCCATGAAATCGACATTTGGGGTACTGTTTTACTGAATTCTCCATGTATGCTGGTGTACGTCGATATCAGCTGATGATACCAGGAGAGAAGAAAGCCAGTCACTCGATCGATCATAGGGACCTGATGCGGTAATAACGAATACCGTTTGAGCAGATATAGCTGTGGATGGGGCTAATATAGCTTCTTCCAGCATGTGGATTCATCTCATTAGATTGAGGGTTTTACGACAGTAGTCTGGACAGTTCATCATTTTTTATCAACATGAGTAGAAATATGTATGATTTCAGGAAGAAGTATCAGTTGTTGACGGTTTTTGTTATAAATTCATCGAAAGTATGTTTGATTATGCGTTTTTTATTTTTCATTTTTGTGCTGTGTAACAGCGTTACAAAACGCATATTGTCACGGGGTTGTATGTATTTGTGTGTGTATGTGTGTGTCTCATATTTTGTCCCGCACTTTCAACTCGGGAACCACAAAAGCTACGCGGCTGAAATTTTGGTATGGTGTTCCGCGCCAACGGGTGACGCGGCAAATTTAAATTTAGCCTTCCCGTACTTGCGGATAACACGCACGGCCGCGTGAAAGTTTTTTACAGGTAACTTAATATCTCAGGAACCACGGAATCTAGGTGGATTAAGTTTTACGGTAATGGCCCACTGCCCACGCTCAACCTTGCCCATTCAAATTCAGCCTTCCCATACTCGCGGGTAACACGTACGGTCACGTGAAAGTTTTTTACGGGTAGATTAATGTCTCAGGGACCACGGAGTTTAGGAGGCTGAAATTTTAGGGTAATGAACCCCTGCCCACCCTCAACCTTGCCCATTCAAATTCAGCATTCTCGCGCACTTGAGTATCACCTACGGCCTCGTGAAAATTTTGGCGGGTAAACTATTAACTCGGGAATCACGGAAAGATATTCATCATTCAAGGTTTCGAATTCAGCTTTCATGCGATGGTGCGTGAAATTTTTAACTATTTTCCATTGTTTGAACTGTTTTTGCATAGACAAAAGTACAAAGCAGTGAAAATCATAATGGGCAATCGTTCGATGGGCTGAATTGCACAAAACGCATGATCGCACCGGCTAGTCTGGTGCG